AAGACGAATTACTAAGATAAAGTAGAAACTAATAATTTTGTATATTAACATTTTTAGTATAGAACAATTATAGTGAACATTCATATATATTAATTAAAATGTATTAAGTAATATTGGTTTTCATTTCAGATAGCCATAAATTGTATGATAAATTCAGTTCAGCCACGGGAATTGTAGGGACCATCTGTAGATAGGAGAAAGTTATAATTTTGTATATTACAATTTTTAGTATCGAACAATTATAGTAAACATTCATATATATTAATTAAAATATATTAGGTAATATTTGTTTCCCTGTCGGCGCTCCTCAGCTCGTACAGATGACCGTCAAGGGAGTTCTAGATGTGGTCGTTGATCTCCTTGACGTTCACTATCAGAGTCGAGAGGATTGCGCGTCGCGAACACAGATCAGAGTCGAGTAGGACGTTCGCGGGAAAGACGGAATCGACCAAATCAGTCAAAGACGTCACTTGTCTAATCCCGAGCAGCGGAATTAGACTTTGTTCGTTCCGTCCCTCCAAGAAAGTGGTCGAACTGACAGTTCCGTTGCCTACCCTAAGAAGGAATTCGGAATAGGATGTGGAACTACTAGTCCGATGAGCTGTTGTCAGGGCAAACATTTTGAAATGCTGCCACAGATGGGAAGCCCGAAGTGAGACACAAACAATGTCAGTTGGAGTACGAGCGTTCACAACGACAGGCGCGATCTGGCGAAAGTCACCACAACAGAGGAATATTTTACCACCGAATAGCTCACTGGAACGCATGAGGTCTCGCAGGGATCTGTCGAGAACCTCAAAAACGAACCTATGTGCCATAGGGGCCTCATCAAAGACAATGAGCTTTGCGGCCCTGATGAGCTCTGCTCGCTGGGAGCCGTTGGTGATGTTCCAAAAGCCGGTGCTGTCACTGAAGTCGAGTGGCAACCTGAACATGCTGTGCGCTGTAGTCCCACCAGGCATGTTACTCGCGGCGATCCCAGAGCTGGTCTTTCTGTAGCCACCCGGACCGTCGAGAAAAATGATTTTCGACGACGTTCCGCTGGCTGGTGCATTGAGAACGGAGGTAACGTACTCAAATACACGGTTTTGGTCTTCAGAGAGCTTTGGCACCCACTCCTCCACAAACGCTCTCTGTTGATTTTCGCTGTGTAAGAGCAGTTCTCTGCCCAACTCCGTCATGTCATCATGTACATTGGGGAGGCCGTGATCTGCGACGCAAGAGCCCTGCCGACGGAGACTACGATCAATCTCGATGAGACCTAGCTTGTAGGCCAGTTCAACATCGAGAGGGTTACGTTCAATGTGGTCCTCGCAGATGGAATCACGGAAGGCATCCCACAGAAGGGCTGCGGGAGCTCCCATGTTGCAGAGTATCACAAAGAAAGAACGGAGTCTCGGGCCAGTCATGAAAGTGGCGGCCTCGCAACAGCGCGTAGTGGTATTCCTGTTCATCTTGCACCAAGCCGAGATGCCGCGCGACCTCTTGAAAAGTGCGACAGTTTGGTCCGCCACGGGACAGGAGGTCGGCATAACCACGGCAAGGAACAGTCATGACGGGCAGTGATGAAATGAACGCCGTCGGGATGCTCGTACACATCTGCAGTTTTTGGACGCTTTGCGTAAACTACGAATGTTTCATAAAACCCCTGGTATGTCACGTCGTCAAAGAATGAAATGAAATTTGGTATGATGATAGCTTACGCTCTCGATTAACTAGACATATTCTTATCTCAAAGATCTTCTCGGGCTCCGCCCCAGTGGTTCTGAAAATTCCCATGTTAACCATATCAGTATTCATATCTAATGATAGAGTGATCTTAAGTATCTTTGTTATTAACTACCTGTAAGGTTGGTTTATTCTTTGGTCAGAACCGATCAACTAACATAGATCAATGACTAGGGACAGCTGGGCTAGGTTTCTGCCTCTATTTCGTAGCGACTAGTCTATTTTCAACCAATTTTAAACTAGTTCTCATTCATACAAATATTTCACTTGTTATAGAATTGTGTTTTTTAACAACGGTTACATGAAAGATATACTGTGAAGTAAACTGACTAATGTAATAAAAATCAGTCTATCCGTTTTCTAGTACTAACTCAGGAAGTATATGAAAACGCTCAATAAGACTAGTTAATTACAAGTCTTTTTACCCATATCTATGAATTTAGTACGTGTCGATTTACCAGTAAAACAGTGTTCATTGCTATTATACGCTTACTCCTCAGGGGGCACAGCCCTAGGAATCGGAAGAAAATTGTTAACGTAAGTATAGGTCGATATACACACATCAAATTAAAGGTCTTCACTAGTAGATTACGATGCCGTAAATTCAAGCTCAAAAGAATGCCTGAGTAAAAAATGGCAGTCGTTCAAAGATTCAAAATGGCGGATTCAAGAAATCTTTGAACATCTGCCATTTTGCGCAAGATCAACCTTTTGAAGTGCGGTTTGAGGCATTGTATTCTACTAAAAAAGACCTTTAATTTGATGTGCATATTGACCTATGCTTTCATTTAAGATTTTCTTCTGACTCCTTGTGGGCCGTCCCCCTGAAGAGTTATTGGATCACTAAATATGTGTTAAAATATAATTTTATGCCCTGTAACTTTGTACCAAGTATTGTAGCTCTATCTACATTATTTTTTGAAATATTTAACTGTCCTGGGACTTTTTACCACCCTGTATAAGTTACTGATTAAAGTATTGAATACATTATTACGGAAAGTAAATAAGAGAAACGTCTTATAACACTTAAAAGATATATTTACGCTTATACTGTTACTCACAAGACGGTAAATATACAAAAAAGATGGTAAGTGGTGATCGATTTCGATTGGACACTCCAATCATCATCAGACCCAATAGGCGAATCTCATCATTGATAGACTGAAAAGTTTATCTAACGACCTTGGAAAGCCCAACTTCCCAAAACAAGCAAACATTTTTGTTAAGAGAAAGCGGCTGCTATTAGAACTTTGACCTGTTATTCTCATTCTACAACCTAATGTAATCCATTTACAAACAAATAATACAGTTATAAAACATAATTGTCTTGCTGTACATTTAATAAACACTTACTGAAAAAAAAAACATTTAACTAAATTGTTTGTGTTGTTTTAACTTATTTTTAACAGAAATACCAATTAAGCTTTTCAATTATTTTCAAAAACTTCAAACAGTCACCATTTTCGCTAGGGTGGTCCTTTTGAGATGAAACTTGTGGCTCCTTACTCAGAAAAAAATGGCCTTTAAAATGATGTATTATTTACCATAGGCTTCCATTAAAACTTTTTAATGCATCCTCCATAGGACGTTCCCTGTAAGTGGGTTTTTAAATTTCAAGGAGTCGCCATTTTTGCTAGGGTGGTCCTTTTGAGATGAAACTTGTGGCTCCTTACTCAGAAAAAATGGCCTTTAAAATGATGTATCATTTACCATAGGCTTCCATTAAAACTTTTTACTGCATCCTCCACAGGACGTTCCCTATAAGTGGTAAAAAATTTCACAAGGCACCAAAAGATAGGTAAAACCATAGTATATCCGTACACAAAATATCAGTTGTTTTTCTTTAACCACCTACCAGATATAATGTTGGTTCCAGACATTTTCAACACCCATAGGTTCTATCCTAACTTGTTTCAGTAGTAACACCGCTTCATCAGAGATATTTGGGTACAACTCTTTTGTTTTAAAAACGTTAACAAACACTTTGTTTATTCATACCACGTTCTTTCCAAACACCATGAACCTCATATTTTCATTGAACATATTTTCAATTCGTCTCGCAAAGCAAAAGAAACCATCTGAAGGGATGCTAAAATCCCTTTTGGATATGGACTAATTTATAATGAATGAATACAATTTGCTTACTTTAATACTTTAGATCTACATTAGAAAGAAGGATATACCTAGACCTCAATCAGATAACATTTATTATTTACATCGAACAACTAATAAAAAGTAGCCTTATCAAATTCAATTTTCAACTGTTTCTTGTTTTCAATCTTACTGTGATTAAACATTATCCTGAAGGGTCAGCTGTTAAATGACAGTTCACATTTAAGCGTTATAAAGAAATTTGGTCAGCAGCACTGGATCTTTCAAAGCAAACTCTAGAAATAAATAAAACGCAGGGGACAAAACCTTATAATAACCTTTTTTGATACCATTCGTCCCTCTGCTGGATCATAACTAAGCTTTAATCATGCCTCAATTATTGTAAAAATTTGCTTTGTAGGACGACAAAAAAAATTGATTTTACAGAGAAACCCCCTAATGTTTTAAGTATAGATTCAATATTTAATCACTGGTGATACATAAATACAGATAGCACAAGACTAGACAAACTGTTTAGCTGAGAGAGGAATAAGCTGATAGATAGTAAGTAACAATGTTTATAACACTTTTTGAAATAAATTGAAACATAGGGAATAGCTATGTCCACACTCCTGCGCTTTCAATTTCAATGTGCCTTTCAGCTTTAAATTCAATATTCAATTCAACATGCATCAACGCAAACAATATCGCATGCGCCTTGAGGCATGCCTTTTAGCTGTCCACACTCAATTTTATTTTAGTTTATTAATTCTCTTAATGTAATCTTAATTTATTCAATTTATTTTAATTTTTTTATTACTCCATATGTCCCGCTAACATAAATAAGAGCAACAATCTTCTATGAATTCTGAGGTTTCTTAGTTATTCAATATGTTTCACAACTGCAACACGGACGACTTGTCAAAAATGTAAAGCAAAGCAGTTGCAAGTTGAAACGCACAGAAATCCAAGGCTGGTGGATTGTCTTGCGCTACGCTGTGCGCTATGGAATGGAGACCCTTCCGACTCATTTCGTGCATGCTTTGAGGCAAGCGTCACTTGCGTCCATCTGCATCAAGGCATGCGTTAAGAGGCATGCGCTTGGCGCACACAAAAGCGCACGAGTGTGGACATAGCTAATGTAATATTAATTCACTAAGGGTAACATCAAACACATTAACCACAGTTAAAATTTATTGTCAAACTGTAATGTCATTGTAAAATGTTTTAAAGCAACAGTTATAATACTCCTTGAGATATTATGTAACATATTTACATAGTTTAGTAATACTATACCTCAAACTATAAGATATAATGACACATCTGTTATACATGTTTTATTCAATAATTGAAATTTCCTATAATATACATTATTAAATAACCCATAATACTTTATGGCACATAACTATTTACAAAAGTCAGAGACAGTAGTTAATTGCTTAAAATTACCTTTGGGATTACTCTGTGTATTCTATAAGTTTCCACAAATACAAGACTTTATATATGTAACTGCTATAAACTAGTTTCATGTGGAGTCTCTTTGGAGTTCTCTGTCCCTAGTCCACTGCTTTCTCCAGACATTTCAGGACCGAAGCGTTTGTTTGGTATGAATCCGCTCACCTCCGCTCCACGTTTCCTGTGTCGTCCATCAATATAACCGGAGGAATCCGATGACTCATTAGGAAGGTTTCCATCGAGAACGTAGAGCAGAGATTCGCTGAGCGGGGAGTGAGGGATTTCATCATGTGATAAGTCTTCAAGTCTCCCCTCAGAGGAAGGGTCGTAATCTCCAGTTCTGCTAGAGAAGCTTAGGTCCACAGGACTGGCTGTCAACACACTGCGACTGGACAGATACTCCTTGAAGGCTCCAGCCAGTGACTCTCCCGTATCACTGTCATCCTACAACATACAATAGATTAGGGATGTGTCGAATCTGAATCTCGATTCCACCGAATTCTAAGAAAAGATTCGGATTTGAGATTCGATTAACAAGTTTCGAGAATCGAATCTCGGGTCCGCTGTCAGAATCAGACTTGCCGCCAGCTCTATAATAACGTGTAGCAGCAGTGTCGATCCACGCATAGCTCCACTCTGTCTCAAAACTCAAGGCCATCACTTGAATTACATCCTAGTCGAATATTAATCCATTGTACTCATTGTAGGTACATGGGGATAGGCTGAGGCCGATAACAGAATTTCTTGATTTGATACCAGTTCTGAAATATTACTCACAATTATTGATACAGATTCCACATAAAAACTCTTTTTTAAGGATGTTGCCATGGTCAATGTTTTGTTGAACGTTCGTTTAAATTCTGAATCAGGCAACCGGCGTAGTTCATGCCGGCCCAAAATGATCATGCGCTCTCACTTATTTATTGTTTTCAAGTATGATAAACAGAATCAGGGAACCGCTCTTTCTCTTTACAAAACTAAAGTCTTAGACTAAAAACTTCCAAATAGAAGTAGCACAGGCACGGCAACTCTACTAGAAAATCGAGACGCTGTAAAATGTTGTTATGTACCACTAGAAGAATCAACCAAATCAATGGCGGTTGGCTTAATTGCAGTCCCACAATCTCCTAGTTCAAAAGTACTATTCCCAGGGCCGTCCCGGGGTTACGGCTAACTAGAGCATTGAATGGTCCCCTGAAATCCATCCATCATTCGGATTTTCCATGATTTTCCATGACTTCTTGCCTATTTCCATGACTTTCAATGACCAAAATTTTTGTCCATGGCTATCCCTGACTTTCCAGAATGTGGACACCCTGACTGTTAAAATAAGGCTAACTTTTTTCTTGCAAAAGCCAATTTAAAGTATGGGATTCATTTGACACTAGCCATTAAATTAGACAAACGTAGAGTATTAGATTTGATGTCTACAAAGATACTCTTGTACTATGGTGTACCTGGTCCCAGGAAGGGTCATCCTTGAGTCCCCAGGTGAGGTTGGCCAAGTGACAGATGTTTGAGGCGGAGACAGCAACCACAGGCTTGCGACTACGAGGAGTCATCATTGTCTCCTGCAAAATGAAATTATCCTTAGTACAATAACTGTACAGTGACTACTGACAATTCCCTTTCATTGGGCCTATTATCTTAAGGTTAACAAGTTTAAATGTTTTACAGATTGGTTTAAAAATTTCAATTACCCTTACTTTTTAAGATTATTGATCATATGTTAAACACAATCACAATGTATTCTTTCTTGTTGATGCATCCAGTGAGGCTTAAACTTGTACTGATTATTACAGTAGTTTATCTTATGACCACTGAGGTTTTGGTCAAGCCAAAAAAGTTATCTATACTGTGAAAACAGTATTATAAACTATTACTCGTATGCTCCCTTATCATGTTATCATAACCAGTTTTATAAATTATACGTAAATTATAAAATCATTTTACCATTTTGCTTTAAAATCAGTAAATTAATTTAAAAACAAATTTATAGTTTTAAAATAGTGATCAGGAGGCTAAAATGTAATAAACCGAATACCAGTATGCATTTCTCAATAAATTATAACTTGTACATTTTATTTTAAATTTTAAAATTTTGAATAAAATTCAGTGGAAATTTAATTTCTATTAAATTTAAATTGGAATGGGACCATACATCTGTGGTCTGCCAACTACTTAAATCTATATATAAACTAATGTTTAACAGGGTGTCCGTCCACCAGGCCAACCACAAAAAATGCATGAGTAATTCCAGGAAGTTCAGGTCGTACTTTTCATATTTAACTTTCCAACACGTTTTTGCGCAAACTCCCGCAATGCTGTTTTGGTGCTAACATAGTTAACTATGTTATTTATCGGAAAAAGCATTCTCAGTTAAAGAAACAAAATTTATGATTACTGTAATATTGACTGAAACAAGTATGAAATTTGTATATATTACTGATTAAATAATCTGAAAAGTAAAAATTAATTCTTAAACCTGCAATTTATCAACAAATTCTTAAAAATAGTGATATGTCGATAGTAAAATTTATCAAATCTCTGTGCAGACACCTGAAAAATTGATTCTTAATACTGATACTGTAATTTTAATTTTTTCCAAATTTTCTGTAAGGATGTACTACACCAACACCTATCTTTATGTACTTTCATATACTATGTAATTTTTTTGAGTTATGTGTTTTTTTTTTCAAGTGGCCTACAGACATAATTTAATTAATGCAGAAATAACAAAAATTTTACATAGCCAAATTAAGTTTTAAACCCTTCTAAACACATTAAATAAATACCACGTTAAAGGTAAATTAAGATATTACAAAAAATATAAATATAAAACTTTCTAGAAGTGTACCTTTTTGATATTTTTTGGTCAAGCCAAACTCGAATCTACCACTGTTGTAGAGACACCATCATAATTTTCCGCAATAAATGCAAAATCCCGAATATCTCCCTCAGTAACGGAAACATCACCACTGTCTTCCGTGGTCGTGACAAAATCCTGATATTGTTCAGCGGTTATGGAAACATTATCATTGTCTCCCACACTCACAGAAAATTTATCATCATCTTCCTCGATTGTAGCTTAAGTCTAATAATTTCCCTCGGTCATCTTCATCAAGCAATAATTTTTGGATATCATCATCGTTTTCAGCAGTCACGGAAACATTATCGTCCGCATGCGCGATCTCGGCAAAATCACTAACATATCCCACGGCCGTTTGGACATCATCATGGTCTCCTGCGGTCACGGAAACGTCTTCGTCATCTCCTGTGATCAGGGAATCGTCATCGTCATCATGCGCAATCACGGTTGAAAAAAAATCACGCCTAATTCCTGGTTTTCCCAGTCGGTGGACACCCTGTTTAAGTAGGTACATAAAACTTTAAAATTCATGCCATAGGATGCAAAGCTTATAAACACATGCATAAACAATTTAAAATGAATACAATAAGAATGGAATTTAAAATGCAATACAATAAGAGATTAAGTAGAGGATAGGTAGAACTGTGGTTAATATACAAATGTGGAAAGGGGAGGGGAAATCCATTATGGTTCTAAAATCGTGACTAAATATTTTAAATTACAGTTTGGGTTCAGCGGATTAAAATGAGGGATATTGTTTTAAAAAGTTGGTTTTGGTTCCATGTGCACCTGCGTTATATTACAGGTAGTAAAGATTGGTTGGTATTTTCTTATTTCTGTAACTTCTGGTCACCAACAAATGTGATTTTGTCAATAAGTGATAGGCACAATGTTGTTATCAATAGTTTTTTACAAATTTATATGCTGTTGAAGCATTTGTCTCCTAGACAAAATAAACAGAACCGCAAAATATACTAATAGTTTCTTTAACTATAAAACACAACCAAACATTTTCATGCTATTAAAACTTGTAATAAAATGTAATTTTTCAAAATCAAAATAGTTTGTCATTATACAATTTATGTGTTTTATAGAGTTCAGCTACTTTTAGGAATACTTTCAAGTTTCAATTATAACTACTGAATAAAATCTAACAATACAGTACACTAATAACTCAAAAATCTAACAAAAAATTGACAATAAAATGTAAATTTGGAAGTTTTTTAAAATCTACAGGTCATTTAATTTCTGTTTGTAATTGAAAGGTAGGCCTAATGACTAAAGGCTAATACAAACTCTTCTAAACATAATGCTACTGAAGCGTCGCAACTAAAAGACAAATGTAGAAGTTTCCTCCTTACCCTACTAGAGTCCAGATTAACAAGAGGGTAATTTCTGATTCTATAAAAGTTGTGGGTAGCAGCTCTACTAGGTCTTGTGAGATTTACCTGCATGGCTTTTGACATCCGCTGAGTTGAGAGAGTGATAGGACTCATGTCATTAGGGGAGGGAGAGAGAAGACAATTGTTACAGGCAGGCGTGCTAGTTAGTAGAGCAGAGTAACGGTTAGTCATTGGAGGGGTGAGGGGTGCTTTACTCACAGACAACTTTCGGTGCTTCATCAAACTAGGGTTACAAGGGGTGAAAAACGGACTGTTTTCCTTTTCAGGAATAGGAACAGGAGAATTGAGGATGGAAACATCTGGCTTGTCTTCTAGTTCAACTTTAGGCTTCGATACATCAATGTCTTCTACAATCCTTTCATTTAGAGGCGAGGATGACTGTTCGGCTTCAATATTGTCACAACTCTTGCCAGATTTTAACCTTTGGAAGCATTTTGGTGTTTTTGATTCTGGACTCTACAAAGAAATATTTAAGGTGTCAGGTAAACTCATGCATAAGCTGTTAAAACTACACTAAACTTCTAGTATGAGCCCGTTCATTCAAGAGAAGAGAGAACTTAGTTTTTTCTTAGGGTAACTATCAAGATCAAATTATATTAATAGGCCCTGGAAATTTTTACAAAATTATACTTGCAAAGTCGTCTTTTTAAGCACTTTGACAAATAAAAAGTTTCATCTCTTTCATTTAAAACGGGGTTCAAGTAAAAAACTCCCATTTCGGGTTGGTATAATTTTGAGTTGTTATTTTCTTATTGGTTTAAAAACAAAAACTGATAAGATTTGTAAAATAGCCTAAGAAAACCACTCTGAAGTTTATTCTTAAGGGCAAGGCTGACTCGATCACCTCAGGTTGCGTCACCCCAGCACCACTATCGAAAAAAATTTTGTATCTGCACTTTTGGTTGCTACATTATATTATGTTATTTTCATTCATTTCAACCAAAATCTTTACTTATTTAAAGCGAGAGTAAGGCCTATAAGTGTGAAATCTTCCTCAGCTCGCGAGGTCTGGAGCGGCTGCTCTACTCAAGGACGGCACTCTTCATATTGTAAGAGGAGAAAATATTAAATGGATACTCAGTATGGTATATGGGTAAATATAAGCTGTTAAACAATTCATCTATATATCTAATTCCGTAAGCACAAAATTTTACAATGAAATTGTGAGCAAACGGGAGGCCGTAGAAAGCTGGGAGAGGTCTCATTTTAAAGGTCTAGGCATGAAATTTTGGGGAAAATTATTCATTTTTCTTAATTATGCACCAAAAGGTTGTTAGGAAATAAAACAATTCACATTTAAATATCATGGAAATCTAATTTGATGTCTTTTTATTTAGTGCAATCACAGCTGTGATAATATAAATTGAAAAAAATATGACCACACCTGAATGTGCATTATTTTGTTATTGTAAAATTGTTAGTGAAGTAGTAAACAAACACAAAGTGAAAATTAGATAAAATCTTTTGAACAAACAATTTGATACTTTTAAACTCACTTACATACTTTACAATGGCTTGCGCAGTAATGATGTATAATGTCGGAAGACTACCACTCAGGGGTATATTGTTCCTCGAAATGAGAACTACAGGCACCAGATTTGGCACGATATTAATGGAAGAAGAATAAATGAGCATCGGATGAACATGAAGTTATTGTGGTGAATTGCGCAATTTGATTTGGTGAAATTGTAGCGAACCTTCACAAAAGTTGGCATTTATTTGAAAATCCCAGTGTTTATCCATGGTCAACTTTATGTTGCTTTTAGATGTGTAAAGAGGCCAGACGATGTTAAAATAATACTATAACCGAATTTAAAGAACAAGGAATCAACCAAAATGGATACCATACAACAAATGTTGTTTCAGAGAGATTTTGTTATAGAATTAGCATTTTAAAATTTGGATGATGACATTATCTCTATGTGTTTTTCTAAGTGAATTTGTCTATATTTAAAGAAATCTATATAGATTTAATTAATAGTCATGAAGATTGTTATTGGAAAATGTTCCTTAGTTTTATTATGATTTGAAAGTTTATATTATAAACACACCGCATGTCCTTTGGAATTTGTATTTTAAACAGAGCAGACATCAAAACGCATTATGCAGGTATGTAATAACTATTATACATATCATAATAAAAAAGTTAAATGATAGGCCTAATTCAAGGTAGGGTAACCCATGGGACTAATAATTTGTACCAAATAATTACTAGAATATAGGGGCTATTGCCCCTACAAGCCACTAGTTATTACTAAATTCTCATTTTTAGACACACTTAAAAGTAAATGTAGACAAAATATTAAGGGTCTCCATAAAAAATTGAAACTGAAATTCGCCGTTTATCCACCACTGTTTTTCATGGTCATATTTGCATATTTTGTGATAATGGTGAAGGTGAGTCAGGGGGTTTAGGCCGGGTACGTAGGTGAAATCATGGCGGCATTGCAGGTAGTGAACTCTACATGGTGAGACAAATGGAGCTGTTAAACAGTTAAGCGAAGTTAGCCGTTTCTCCTTCTTATATAAATCAAAACTGACACTCAACATAGTAAAGAAATAACCTAAAAAGAAAAAAAACTAATACAAGATAGACCTATGACTTAAAGACAGACACATCTAACCATATTTGTTTATTTTTATACACAATAGACTATTATAAAGGGTGATCCAGTTAGAGGTTACAATTAAAAAATAAATAATATGTATTGTAGTTTACTTACAAGGTATTTTTTTATTTATACACATTTATTAAAGATTGACATTACACATGAAAAATAATATACCGTCAAATGACCGCCATGTGAATCCCTGCAGACGTCAGCCCTTTTGATGAAATTTTCCATCACTTTCTCGATCATTTGTTGTGGAATTTGATGGATTACTCTGCGAATCTCGACCTTCAGCTCCAGAATCGAGTTGGGCGTGTTTGCGAAAACCTTCTGCTTCAAATATCCCCGAAGGAAATAGTCCATTGGTGTGAGGTCACATGATCTTGCTGGCCAATGCTGATCACCGAAACGAGAGATTAGACGGCCGGGAAACTTTGTGTGCAACAACTGCACTGTTTCTTGTGCTGTATGACAAGTGGCTCCATCTTGTTGAAACCACAAGTCGTACAACTCGTTATTGACAACCAATTCTTCTAACTGCCAAATATAATATATATTCTTTGCTGCCAAAAATAATCGCTTATCATCTCCCGATAACGTTCTCCATTGACTGTAACTGCATCGCCATGGTCATTTTCAAAAAAGTAAGGGCCAATCACGCCGCCAACACACAATCCACACCAAACAGTTACCTTTTTTGGATGCATTTCTTTCCGGTGAATAGCATGAAGATTTTCAGTTCCCCAAATGCGGCAGTTTTGTTTGTTTACATAGCCATTGATATAAAAATGAGCTTCATCAGAAAAGATGATTTTGTTCACAAAATTGTCATCACGTTGATTATTCTCCAACACCCACTTAACAAATTCAAGCCTCTGTTGGTGATCTCCCGGTTTCAATTCATCAAAATGCGCTGAGTTGTACCGTAGGAAAAGCCTAATTGCTGGGAACGATGACGAATTGAGGTTGACGGATTTTCTCGAACACTGGCACTTGTTGCAGCGATATTTTCCACTGATCGGCCACTCTGAGGGCGTACTGGTCTTTTAACATCTAACACTGAACCCGTCACATTAAATTTATCAATCAGTTTTCTAATCGCCGTGTTTTACAATAAAAACACGTTCTTCATTCGAATAACGCTCCATAACAACAAATGTCAAAACACAACAATGCCCAATAACAAAACATCAGCTGTTTGTCTTGCATACGGAACCAGTGCTACCAACTTAAAATTGTAACCTCTAACTGGATCACCCTTTATTTAACCTTGGTATACGCTGTTAAATCTGCAAATATAGGTACAGATAAATAACTGATAAAGAATAAATGCCTATTCCATTTTTACTTGTTTCCCATAAACATAGTAATATTGAGAAAGTATTATTTTTGCCAAAATTGTTTGGTTTGAGTTTTGGGAGGATATATCAATTTTGGATCCCCCTGAACCCAAAAAAGTGGTTTTGGTTTTTGAAGTGATGTCTGTGTGTGTCTGTATATGTTTGTGTGGATGTATACAGAGCTTCAGACTACACCTGTGGTCCGATTTTGATGGAATTTGGTATGTGTGTACTAAATCATAATATCTCCATTGTTTTTTCTTCATTCTTTGAAATTTTGATTTTTATGGTGGTTATCTAAGAAAATAGTAGAAAAAATTGATTTTTACAGAAACAGCTTGATAGATTTTTACTAAAATTTAATGCGTAATAGCATTGACTATATAACACTACTAGATTGAAAACCCCATGCATTTGGTTGTGAACAAGCAATCAGCACACTCTGGCGGGAAGGGGCGATTATAGCACTGACGTCACTGACCAGTAGGTGCTGCCACGATGTGGCGGGCAATGAAAACATAGTGCTGTCTGCTGTTACGACGCAATGAACAGACAGCCGACAGCTGAGCCATGCTACCCGCGCCCACGTGACTTGCCGGAACTGCACATCCACGCCCCGCTCGCCTCGAATTTGTGTTGTTAGAATTGAAGCGCGACTGATCATTAATTTAACTGCTTCGCTAAGAATCTGAGATATTAGACAGGGACTCGTATCCTAATATTTATCGTGATATTTTAGTGGTTAGTGAATTTGATTGATAAAAAAGATGTCCTGTAGATATGTATGAATTTCCTATCTAATCACATTTAAAACGCCGATGAGAATAACTTAAATACAAATTTGCGTAATCAAACGCGTCATGTTGTAAATGTTTTGTTGTAAGAATTTATAATAAATATTTAATTGGAATTGAGAAATTGTGATATTTTATCAATAAATAAATAAATTGATTTATCCACATATCACAATTAAATTTTAATCTAGTAAGTATAGTAGAATACATCCACCTAACACTTTGAAACTAGTGAACGAGCTTAAAATAACGACCACACAAAACGCCCAAAGCAAATAAAAACTGCAAAATGTGCTCAGAGAAAAAAAGAAAGTGAAATGACAGAACATGGGGGGTGGCAGAGCGTTCGTTCGGTTCGGGTAAGGGCATTGCCTTCACACAATACCCGACAACCCCTAGGCTACACTATGATTTACAACATCTGTCTGCTATAGGGAAAAAGGCACCAGTTGATGTGTCAGTAATATGAGACATTGCTGCTGTAAAACGGGGTTAAATATTTGATAGGCCTATGGTAAGCCTCAGTTTTAATTTAGAAGTGTGATATAACTGTTACACGTCCTTTAGTTCCGTTATCAGCCAATTTTATATTTATAATTAACTATCGCCATAGGGTCTCAGCCTGTGATCGATTTACTTTTTCGTTTCGATGTCCCCAGAGACCAGAACTCCATCCTTTCTCATTAAAAAATATGTATCTATACTACAGT